ATTAGTTCTAAGAATTCATATATGATCGCAATATTTAATATAGGTATCTCTAAACGTTATACTAAGTTACCGAATTTTACTATATGGTCTAAATCTCAAACTCACATCTCGATTTGTAAAAGATTCACAAAATCATCAAATTAGTGATCAAGTAATTTAATGCATTAAACTCATAGTAAAATAAACATATGAACGATAAAATACCAAGAATCTTGAATAAAGGAAATAAAGGTTTTCAAATAGATTACATCGTTAGCCCTAATTTAAAGTTTAGCTACTCATAATAAATAAAGAACAAAAACAAAGAATTGATATTAAGTACATTACCGGATTTTGAATATTGATATAGGAAAAGAAATAAAGCTTGCACCAAGATCTTCTTCTTCTTCCAATCAATGTTTCAAAACTTGAATCCCTTGATGTTTTCCTCATTTGAATTATGCTCTTAATCTCTAGTTGTATCTTTGTTATTTCAATGTGTGGAACCCCTTTTTGGTGCCTCCTTAGTTCTATTAATACTTCCATATACGTTCTTAGCTAATTTGGAGTCTTTTTATGGGCTTCTCGTGGCCCGAATAGCAAAAACCTAAATTGTGTGGCGTAGCGCCTAAGCACTATGAGGCAGTACCTAGGCGCCGCGTCAAGTACCAAGGTAGTGCCTGGGCGCTAGGTCGCTGTTCCAAACTCTGCACATTTTTTAGTATTGTTATCATAATTTTCTCTTCCAATATCCGATTAAGGTGATTCAAAATGCGTTGGAAAGATAACTCAAAGATCTACAACTTTTATAGAAATAGCTCTTTTCCAATTCAAATTTTTACTAGGCCAAAAAATGAGTCTCAATCTCTGGCTGAAAATTTGGAACCTCTTTGTTCGATTGAAAATTGATTTGTGAAAATATTTTGGTTATATTTTCACTCCTTTTGACTTCTAATTGCATCCATTTGACTCCTAGCATTCTTGAATCTTCATCGTGAGTTTCGGCACAACTTTTGAATATTTACATTTTAGTCTTTAAACTTTGGATTTTACTATTTTTCGCCAATTTTCACTTATTTTCTCCAATTCTTCATCAAACATAAAGTTTTACCTACAAAAATACAATATAACAGAAATTAGGTAGAATTTTATCAAAGGACAATAAAATATCATCATTTATGGTCTCGAATAAGTGTAGAAACTACACTTATCACCATTACTTAATAGCAGGATTACCGTGTGTACCAAATGTGCTCGAATTATCACCATGAGCAACAAGATTACAACTAATTCCATCCGAGTCAATGCTTATCAAAGCATAAGCAATCAAATCAGCATCATCGAACCTCTCCTAAGGTCTAACGTCTCTTTTCTTTAATTTAGTGACAGATGTATCAAATGTGATCATAGAACCCTACAAGACATATAGCTTGGACCTTCTCTGCCCCTTTATCACAACTCGATCTTTATGATACTTCTCCTCCAGCATTCAAAACTCTCTCGAGGTCTAATATCTCTTTTTTTCAATTTAGTGAGAGTTGCATCTAACGTGATGATACAACCCTGCAAGACATATAACTGGAAACTTCTCTGTCCATTTATTACAACTCGATCCTTACGTTACTTCTCCTCTAGCGTACAAACAAAAATCTACCGTAACAAAACTTAGTATAACAATCCAAAAGCGGAATATCAAATTTCATACTTGCCATGTCAAAAATCAAACCTCGATCTGAGTTGATCAAACATTGCTCTAATACAAAACCGAACTGTTGAACCTAGGGAACTATTGTGAACAATATTTTAAAAACGAATACCATTTACTTTGTTACGACTTGTTAAGAATAAAATGAGAATATTCAATATGAAAAATAAGAACAATAATAAAAGATTTAAGTGGAAATCCAAGACAGGAAAAACCATAGGTAGAGGATGAAAATTCACAAATAATTAATAAAGGGGGACCAAACTAATAAGTTGGATAATTGGTCAATCTGAACATGTGTGTTGTACACCACATATTTATAATCAAAGACACACTATGAGAATATAATACAATGACGAGTCTAATGTAAAGTGATATCCTAATATAGCAGGTTTAATAAATAATGGAATATTTGAGGTGGAATATAAGATAAAAAAATGCCAAAATCTCAAAACTTTCTCATCTATTCTGGACTTTTTAAAGAATTCTTCAAGTCATACTACCAACTCCCAATAGAACTACCAATTAAATTTCCAATAGAATTCGTGTCACACCAAATTCTAACAATTCCATTGGCAACAAAGTGGATACCTATTAAAACTTTATACTTTGAAAGTTCTAAAATCTAGATTATTTAAAAACTAATTTAATTTAACCCTTAAAACTCTAGAGAGACAAGTAATCAGAACTTGCTATTATCAATTTTAATGTTTTTGACTCCCACGTACACGTTAATACCGTGTTCGTGACTGTAGCTTAATAAATATGAAAATTAACTAACAACGTTAAACAAGAAGATCGGTTATAACGTGGTAAAACCTCGAAAAGAAACATTCGCGGACATCATGCCATTAATAATTTTGATAAGAATATAATATCCGATATTTGTAATTTCATAAATTTAACAAAATAACAATTAAAAGAACTAAGAACATCTCCCTTTTGTTTCTTCTTTTGATTTGTTGATGAAGGGAAATCAAATCCACGATCTTAACTTTATCACTAATTCCCTATTGTAGTGGTCGCAATTTGTACTTGGATTAAGAAACCTCATTTTTAACTTCACGCCAAGTAGCTTGATCAAAAGATGGGATTGTAATTAAGGCACCAATATGTTTTTGAATTCTTCAAAATTTTAAAGAAGATGTTTGCTTTTAAATTATGAATGAAACATCATGCCCTGTATGATTTCTTGAAGTTGATTGACTGTGCCTAAGCATAGTTGAATACAGACGAAAATTATTTTTCAAAGCTCAATTCATTTCTTAATTTCTTATATTACTTATAGGTAAAGTAATCATTAAAATAATGAATTAATTCTTACCTAATAATCTGCAATAAAAGCGGTAAGAAAATTAGTAAGATTTTCTACATTTCTATGGGGCCAATATAATGAATTTAAGACAAATTTAATTTATCACGTCCTTATATTTTCCATCTAAACAAATTTAAATATGATGATATAAAATCCAAAATATACGAATGATACTTGTTTATCATGAAATCAGATCATGTTATATAAGGAAATCAATAAAATTCATAACTTAAATATTTTGGACGAGTCCGCTTACCATCCCAATCAATCAGGACTAGCTACCGTCTAACCTGTTCTCTCATTGTTAGACAAATTAAAAATAACAGTGCTGGTTCTTCTTCTATATGTCATCCGCGAATCAGTGCTGGTTTTCCTTTTTTTATTGGACATTGAAAATTTGAACGAGGTTTGTTACTTAGTCAATTCGATTGGTTATCTACAGAAATGGACATTAACAAGTCAAATAAAGAACAAGTTGAAAAGGTCAAGAATTAACCCTACATACGATACATGGTTGAATTTTACGTACAAGACAAAAATAATGGTTAGCTTTAATTTGGATGCATGCGTTGTAACTAAGGACCTTGTCTAATGACCATTGCGGCATATCCATCTCTATCTCATATATACTTTACAATATCTATGTACATCAGATGACTTGGACAACGAACATTCGCACCTGAACAAGTAAATGACTTGGACAAAGTTTTTTATTTTTTATTTTCTTACGCGATGACTTATGTACCCATTAAATTTTAACAGCTCAGAATTATAAGAATGTACCAAAACTTGATTATCAGAGCGCAAATTTTAATACAAAAATTTACAAAATCCTTGTATGTTGTACTATATAATTAAAGAATTTTCAATTTCTTTTTATTTCTTAGGGTCCGTATGATATATGTATTTTTTAATAGAAATTGTGAAGTGATTTTTTTTGGGGGCATATCTCTTTAAAAAACAGGAAAAAATTATGTGATCACGTGCAAAGTTATTTTAATAAAAATAATTTCAAGAAAAAATGAATTTTAAAGAATAAGTGTCAAACATGGACTTAATCACATACAATACATATAATCAAATATTAAATTTTAATAAATTTATATTTCGGCCTTCATTATCTACAATTGAGTCGTAATTTCATGCATCACGTTGAACAATTCATATACAGTTTTGTGTGTTTTTTCTTTTTATTTTTTTAATATTGAATAACATTGGACTGAAGCATGGACGGCATGACTTCGTCTTCTCTGTAAATCTCTAACCTTAGGTCCTTAGCTGTCATATTACTGTGTGTTTATTATATATAAAGGGTTCTTATGCCATAAATCACTTCACATCAATATATATCTAATTCTCTTCAAAGTTAGCGTTCAACAAAAATGGCAAATCTTGTGTTAACCATAATTAGTCTTCTTGCCATTGGATGGACACTTGTCCACGCTGGTGAACCTAGCCCGCTTCAAGATTTCTGCGTAGCAGACTTCGATAGTCCAGGTCCGTAATTTTTCGTCACTGATGCCGCATTTTTGTTTCCTTGTTCTTTAAGGTTTTTAACGTAAAACTTGTGTTTTGTTTGTTGTAATGCAGTGAGAGTGAATGGTCATGCATGTCTAGACCCTAAAAAGGTAACAGCTGATCACTTCTTCTTCGAAGGACTACATAAACCTGGAAACACATCAAATCCCTTGGGGTCCTTCATAAACCGGCCGACCGTGGATGAAATTCCCGGCCTCAACACTCTAGGCATCTCCACCGTACGAGTTGACTATGCACCACGTGGCATTGTTCCTCCCCATCGACACCCTCGGGCATCGGAAATTTTGACAGTGTTGGAGGGGGAAGTACTTGTCGGTTTCGTCACCTCGGATCCAGAAAACA